CTAGAGCACCAACACCGTCCTCTTGGAGATTACAAACTATATCAGAATATCTTCTTAAACTGGAGACCTCAACCGTCTTCTTTCGCGGTTCGCTGCGGTCTCCTCGAATTTTTGAAACATAGTTGCAACGTGGAGCGCACTTGCAGCGTTGTCGATTTTACCACGTTACAGATACTTCTTGAGAATTGTAGTAGTAGGAAAGATTTTGTAATTTATTACATTTCATGGTATTGCAGTAATAATGTTAAACTGCAATGTATACGTATTGTGTCCAAATTGATATTGGAATTAGTGGTAATCTGAAGGTAATCTGAAATCGAACGGTGTGGTGTGTAAGAAGTCAAAAGTCAGAGACGGTCCATATAAGTATTGTTGGGTCTGCGCCAGTGGCACCACCGGACCTGAGCTCCTCGTTTTTCCTCGAAAGGAATTTACGAGCAGGCCTTTATTTGGGCTTCATTTGATTGGCATCTTGTGGGAAACGGATCGCGACTGACCCGATAACTTCTTTCGCGTCCTTTGTTTCCTCGTTCCTCCGCCATTAATTATTTATCGTTTCCAATGTTTCCAGCATCCAGAATGCGAATGCGGTCATCATACGTGCGGAGCGAACTGCGACCGATGCTGTCCCATGTTCAATCAGAGGCAGTGGGGCCCAGGGACGTCTCGGGACGCGAAACTCTGCATGCCCTGCAATTGCCACGGACACGCCACCAGCTGCCACTACGACGAGGAGGTCGATCGCGCCGCAATAAGTCTCGATGTGAACGGACACTTCCAAGGCGGAGGCGTCTGCGACAACTGCACGGATCACACGACCGGCATCAACTGCGAACTCTGCGTCCCAGGCTACTACAGACCGAAAGGCATCTCCGCCGACGACCCGAATGCTTGCACCAAGTGCGACGATTGCACGGCTCTAGGATCGACCGGGAATTGCGAGTTATCCAAGGATAATGTTGATGATGCTGATGATGACAAGGGGGTGGTGGTGTGCGAGTGTCGACCTGGATACGTGGGGTTGCGGTGCGATACCTGCGCCGATGGTTTTCGTGGTTACCCCGACTGCGAGCCTTGTCCATGCGATCCTCGCGGTGTCCTGGTCGACACCGACTGTGACGGTGACTGTTCCTGCAAGGTATTTATGGCATTTTCTAACATCGCATGCAGCGACAACCCAAAATCTCGACCAGAAACTAATTACGAACAATACCCGAACTATTTCATTACGCGACCCCCTGGATATTTCATATTTCATAACGCTCTTTCCTTTTGACAACGCAACATATTTCATCCGACGTTTTTGTTCGCACATGAAATTTCAGAACTACCATTAATACCGTCCTTTTTTGAATTTCTCTACTATGTCCGGTTTATTAATCCGCATTCCTGATGTATGCAAAAAAAAAAGAATTGCTGAAAATTCACAGAAAATTTCAAATATTTCCTTCATTCCATTCATTTTTCACAATGGTTTTAATATTTCACACGTATAGTTTTTAATTGAATATACATAAGAATTTTCATTTATTAAGATTATTTCATTGTTTAATTCATAAAACGAATTAATTTAGGAAATAACTGAAAGTTTCGTTCCAACTGTTATTAAAATAAGAAATATTTAGTCCTGAAATGAATAATGTTTCTTTTACAAAATTAACAATTCATTATAAAAAAAATCTAATTTTGTCAAAGATACTTAAATATCGTGGAATTGTTTTGTAACATATTGTTTTGTTTACTTAAACGAGAAAAATGAATTAATATTTGTAACGTTAATTTTTTGATCACCTAATATATAATATGTTGATGCAGTATACTTGGTTGCATATATTTCTATTGAATCATCATCTTCGTTTGTATTTGGGTCACGTTCATTCCATAATTAGATGATAATTTGACTATCAAATTATGAAATTTCAATTTGTTTGTATTTATTTTTTGGCACTTTTTATTATAACTGGCTCGTTGGTCTAGGGGTATGATTTTCGCTTAGGGTGCGAGAGGTCCCGGGTTCAAATCCCGGACGAGCCCACATTTCTTTTTATTTTTTTTTTCAATATTTACATAATGTTATAATACAGTCTTTTTTTACATAAATAAATTTCGAATACGTTGCGAACTCGCAGGGTTATTATGTAAACAGAACGAATACAGACAGTATCGCTGTTGATTATTAATAACGTAATTATAAATGGTTTGCTCATTGGATCGTATTAATGCCGTACGGTATAATTAATCGACTGGGGTTTGATTGAACGCTTTGTGCATTTATTATATATATATGTATGTTTGTTATTGTTTGCAGGGGAATGTTGATGGGAAATTTTGCGATCACTGCAAGGCCGGGCATTTCGCGCTGCAAATGAACAACCCGGAAGGATGCTCATCCTGTTATTGTTCCGGAGTTACAACGGTCTGCGCCTCCGCACAATTGCCAATTAAAAGGGTAATAATCAATCGAGTTTCATTCAAACATGATTTATTGTATGTTTTTTCTTGTTCAGTTTACGGGCACGGACGGATGGCTCATAAGTGACATCTCGGTGAGCGAAGTGGAGGAGCCCACGCTCGACGAGCACGACATGATCTCTGTTGGCAACTACGAGATACCTGGTATCGAAGCGTATTACTGGTTGGCACCTGAAGTGTACCTGGGTAATAAGTTGGAGGCGTACGGGGGAGAGCTGGTGTTCAAGGTGCATTGGGTGGTGATGCGAGGCGATACCAGCGGGAAACCGACGACCGGTCCCAACGTTATATTGGTCGGTAGAAATGGGATGAGGATAGCGTGCGGAGATGAGCCGTACACGGACGGCGACATGACTTTCCGGATAACTTTGGCGGAATTCGAGGACACTTGGTATCACGTTCCCGGCGACGTCAAGGACATCGTAACGCGGTTGAGGCGCACCGAGTACAAAGGGGATTTCGTCACCAGAGCCCAGTTTTTAAGCGTCCTCACCGATGTAAAGCATGTGATGCTACGGGCCAAATTCCACACCGATCAGATCGAAGGATCCTTGGAGGAGGCGTATATTTCTGTAGGGGACTACAAAGACGGTTACGGCCCCGTCGAGGAATGCTCGTGTCCTTCTGGTTACACGGGTCTTTCCTGCGAGTCCTGCCAGTACGGACACGTGCGGATCATCAGCAATACCAGTTCGCACCAGCAGATCGGTTTCTGCGCCAAATGCGACTGCAACGGTCATTCATCCTCCTGCAATTTAGATACTGGAGAATGTTACTGCGAACACAACACCATGGGAGAGACCTGCGAGCGCTGCGCTCCAGGATTCTACGGGAATCCGCTTCAAGGTACCCCGAAGGATTGCAAGAAATGCGCATGTCCTTTGGAAGAGAAAAGCAACAATTTCAGTCCGAGCTGCCAATTGGATTTACTCACCTTGAGCAACGACGACGACGAACCCGGTTACGTTTGCACGCAGTGCCCCAAAGGCTACACCGGAGACCATTGCGAGATGTACTTATCTTCTACAATCCCATCATCATCTTATTATCGATCCTTCCTATTTCTGTTGCAGATGCGATGATGGATACTTCGGATTGCCTAGTAAACTTGGTGGTCGATGCGATCCGTGCACCTGCGGAGGAGGCCCTTGCGACAGGATCACAGGGCAATGTTTGGGCTGCAGAGGCAATACCGAAGGTATAAACATTCAATGAAACAATACAAATAGATTTTTCAATTTCTGAAGATTGGTTAACAAAAAAAAAATGTATGTGTTTTTCAGGCTGGAGATGCGAACGCTGTAAACTAGGATATTACGGAGATCCGGTAATAGGATGCGAGGCGTGCCTGTGCGACCCGCAGGGCTCAATAAGCCCGAATTGTAATAATGTCACTGGGGAATGCGAATGCAAGGAACATTTTATTGGAAGGACATGCAATAAATGCGAAGTAAGTCTATCGATTTCGGCACGAATTCCCGCACCACCTTTTCAGTTTATTTTTTTCAATCACACTTTTAAAAATAAAATAAAACTGCTAATACATGGCCTTAATATCATGGATATTCTAAAAGTAGATATTGATGCAAATAGTTATTTTAAGAAAATAGCTTCCTGTTAGCAAATATTAGTATGATATACTTTATGTTTTACTTGGCAAATATCATTTAACTAAGCATATATCTGCCTGAATTCGTTTAGAAACGTATTCGTATTAGATAGTGTTAAGTTATTAGTAAACTATTTACTTGCTACATCTACAATATCAGTTAAGGATGTTCAAGATGATGCTATTATATAATTTTGTTAATATTTCTATTGTTTTTAATTTGTGCAGACTGGTTATGGAAATGTTACTGCCCAATGCACAGAATGCACATGCGACTCGATCGGATCCAAATCGAATATCTGCGACCCTCATTCGGGTCTTTGCGATTGTCAGCCGGGCGTCGAGGGCTTCCGTTGCGACGCCTGTCAGCATCTCCACTACGGATTCTCTACGGACGGATGTCAAAGTAAGTCGAATTTAATCACTATTCAGTCGATGCCCTTTCACCTCGTCCATCATCTGGTGCTCCTGCACTTTCTCATCGTACTGTGCAAAACATTGTTCCCACTTTTCCGTCATCAGACCCTAATCACGCTCCTCATCATTACCAGAATAATTTTTCAATTAACCAGATGACTTTCATTCCAATAACCATCATAAAAATTATCTTTACAATTATTTATTTTGTTTGAAATAATAAATTTTGAAAGCTGCGTCGCCAGATGGCGACATCAACAGGGTCATCATTATATAAACTCTTGCGTGTATCCTACAGATGTCGCTGCGCTCAGTCTTTACATTTAATTTATGTATTTGTATATACAGGGTGTTTCATTTTTTAATTTTTTATTAACACATTTATTTTTCTCTCTTCGGAAAATATTTGGACAGCGTATTTTATAATTATTTATAAATAATAGCAAATAGCAAATTCTTATTGAACAGATTCAATTAGATACATAATAGTTACCTAAAAGATTGGTTCTACCAACAATTTGAAATAAAATATATTAGTCGTACCAACCTGCATTTTTCAAAAATTGTTTGCAGTACAACTACAAACAATTTTTCAACAGTTGCTTGTTTTGACACATGATGACAGCTATCATTACATGACACATTCAAAATTGAACGATCCAATTTTGGGTCCACCTATATGAAAATTTTGGTTATCATGGAGAAAAATGACATTTATATTATAATTTTATATGTTAATTATTGTTGCTACGTCTCCATTACATTTTTATCTTACGTTACGTATAGTGCGGAAGCACTATTATAACATCAATAACATATATCATTTATTACCTATATCTAAATGGAACCAATCAGTTTCTTAATATTTCCATTAAATTTCAGTGGTAAAACAATTGAATTGAATTATAGATAATGAAAAGTCATATATTTCATAAGTATTTGCTGGAGAAAATCAAAGTTATTTTCGGATACAGTTCGAATTGAGTTGCGTGACAATTAGAGATGTTATTAGTCATAAAATGCGAAACTATTATATTTACAGTAATATATGCCGTCTCTGAAACGGTATCTCTAAGTGCTCCCTCTCTCGTGTAATTATTACAGGACAAAGACACATATTTCCACGGAAGAAAAATATTTTTATTTACTTGCATATTAACCTGTGTTGTTCATCTCACAATGAGACAACGTCAATATTCGTACATTCCAAGACAATGAAATACGAATTAATCGCTTTTCAATTTCAATCTACTTTAATTTTTATCAATTGTACAAAGCGCACAAAGTCCATCCAGTTTCATATAAATTAATATTTACTTAAACGAGCAAATATTTCTTCATTAACGATGAATTCAATTAAGTATTAATTGACTTTTATTGAATAGCTTCTAATTAGACACTTAATGAGTATTTTGATGAAAAGTCATTAAGAAATTTAATTAAATTAAAAATTCGACAGTATAATTTTATACTTCTTCAAATAATTTAATAATTATAAATTTATTTAGTTCTATGAGACTATTGAATTGTAACTAAAGTTTTCTATCAATGATATTTTTGATAAATTGACATATAGATAGTTTAGAAATACATAGTTATTTAAGACTATTATTAGATTGTGGAGTATTTGCTTCAGTATTTTCAATGCTTCAAAAGTGTATTTCTTTGAGTTGAAAGAAATCTTATGAATGATTTTGTAAATAACATGTGGTATGTTTATAAACCAGACTTCTGACAGTTAATTCAATATATGTGTCAACAAAAAATGTTTGTTTATAATTACTTCAGTATACATCTTTTTCCTTATCGAAATGTCGTCATTTCCTGTTGCATTTGTGTACATAGTTTAGAGTTTAAACTTTAGTCCATAGAGAAATGTAATGCTCACATAACAAGTCTTCAATATCTTTAACCATTTTATCAATCCGTTTTTGCTCTGTATTGGTGTTAAAATAATGTCAGATTTAATGATGTCAGATGTCATAAACAGTCGTCACTGTGACGTTTATCATGACGTGACATCATCATGACGTTTATAGACGTCATTATGACGTATACCAGTTGTCATTGTGACATTAATGGATATTATCATGTCATTGTACAAAAGATTATAAAAATTGTCATTTTGTTATGCTCCTAACGACACTTTATTATGATATTGATTTTGAATTATTTCATGATGTAATAACTACTTTGATGTTATGTCAAGATAACATAAACGACAGAACCATACATAACCTTGAAGAACTGCAGTTTTAATTGAAAACAAGGTAAATTTATGATATTTGTACAAAAAAGTACACAATTGTTTTCTTGCTTTTAAGTAAAAGCATAAATTTAATTTAATAACTTAACAATTCTCTGTAAAAAAGATCCAATCATTGCTTTAAAGAGATTAACTAAAAACATCAATAAATCTTCTTACATAAGCTTACTCTTTTTTGAACTTATGAAACGTGATTGATAGCTTGTTATTAACAATTTGTAATAACGTATTTTATAGTTGGGAAAAGCGATTGTTGCTTGTAATAAGAGTGAGCGTTCCACACAGGAAGACGTGTCATTACGATAAAATGTAAGCTGTTTTTTCTTCTTCTTGAAGTTGGGATTATTTTAGTCGTCCGTGGTGCACGTGGCCAGCAGGTGCACAGCTTTAGCACTTGATGAAGTTTCAGATGTCTTCTTGTGGATTGTTCGCGACAAGCTGACCTCAGATTCCTCTCATTTCCACACCACTGCAACACGTCCATCCAACAACGTTCCTTCTTCCACGTACTTTCCTCTTCTAAAAGCAAAACATAATTGAAATTGTGAATTAAAATGCGAAAGACTTCGGACAACACTAATGTCTATTAAATACTCTTCCCAAAAAAAAATGTTATTTAAATTACGCTCCGGAAGTTCTGCATGAAGCGCAAACATTAATTTAAATAATTTAACATGAAAACTGAATGAAAATAATCTGGCACCAAGCGCGAGTTTTTTTTTTCTTCTACTTTGTAAATTGAAATCCCTATTTAATTGCGCAACGGACGGCCGCGCTTTACATAATCTTTAGCGATTGCGAAATAAAGTTTTGCGTTCAAAGGTGTGTTATTTCCGTGGAATTCATGAGAGGCACATATATGTACAGTAATATTTATTGAAAGCAATTAATAACCGAAGTCGGAATTAATTTGAATTAAGTACGTTGAAAAATCTGTTAATATTTAACAGAACATTAATTAGATGTCAACTTTAAATTCCATTTGAATTGGAAAAACGTAATGAGAATCTGTAAATTTGACACAACATTAATTAGATGTCAATTTTAACAATTGTTTCAATCATTAATTAGAAATCAATAAAATTTACCTTCAAATATTAAATAAATTATAACATTTTTAACAAATCTGTTTATTTAGTAAGAAATTGAATGTTTATTAAAATTAGCTTTGCATATTTAATCTAATTTGTAACAATTGATTGGATGTGTTAATTTAACAGAACATTAATTAGAAGTTAATGAAAATTACTGTAGAATATTTTGTAAATTATCGTAAATTAAACAATTTTTTGAATATTTGTATAGCAATAGAAAATCATAATTGTTAATTAAGTCTGTCAATTTAACAAGACATTAATTAGATGTCTATTAAAATAACTTTTGAATACATAATCAAATGTGTTAATTAAACAGAATTTTAATTGAAAGTCAATTAAAGTTGCCTTAAAATTTTGAAGAAATTATCACGCAGTTAATAATTGTTGGAAAGTAGTAGGAATGTTTATTGTTAATTAAATCTGCTAATTTTAATTGATGTTAAATGTCAATTAAATTACCATTGTATATTTAATTAAAGCTGTTAATTTAACAAGACATTCATTATATGCCAATTAAAGCTAGATTTTAATATTTACTAAACATTATAAATTTCTTTTAAGAAAATCGTAATAATGATTCATTGACTTTAAATGATTCTGTCGTTGGATTTTATCGATTAGATTTATTGTATCGTTTATCCATAAATTCTAATACAATTTCCATTTTGGAAACGGATCTTCTTATATGTGATTTATCATGGAAATCCTTGGAAAACTTTCTTAAGCTGTATAATTTTTATAATTTTACTTTTTCTCAGTATCTAAAGTAACGTTTTTTTAGTCCTTTTATTCATTATCACCACTATTTGATGGTGTGTTTATTGATTATAGTAATTTTTTACTATACAATTATTTGCACAACTAAGATGATGAAAGTAGAAGTAAGACCATTGTAATTATTCATTAAAATATTGTTGTTGCTTGGAATCCAGTAGAAATAAACAACAATTGAATAGCAAAACCGTTTTACTACTGACCTATTTACGTCGAGAGGCCGCAATTTATGGTCCTACTGGAATGCCAATTACAGGTTTATCTCTTTTCAATCATTCGCTGAGTCTCCCCTTTTCCGATGCTCAAAACATCCGAAGATGACAGCATCCGATATGAGAAGGAATGAATGTACACAACGAACAAATAAGAAACCTAAAAACAAAAGAAAAATGAGTATTTGCATTTCACCTGTGCACGTGCAAAAACCGGTTTCTAATAACTCCGAGGCTTCGAGCGAAACCACCCGAAAAAGTTATGTAATTATTGGTTAAAGCACGCAGATTATCTATTATATTGTTTGTTTGTTGTTTACATTGCGATGAACGAAAGGTGTGAATCTCCATTCACATTCTTATACTAAAATCTAATTAGTTTTGTTAATTAAATCAAATATTTTCATTATGTAATGTAAATGTAATTAGAAATAGTTTGGAAACAATTTCTTAAACTAAAATATTATAAGTGAAATTGTATTCTATTTGCACGTGATTTAATGAAGGATTAGCGAGTGTTTATAAGTACGTAAATAGGTTTTGAAGATGTCTATTTCAAGCTTATGGTCGGTCTTTTCAGTTCCAATTAACAAGTCGAGTAGTGGTGCCAAGTAAATATACATAATTGATTCGAGTGATT